CCCACTTGTGGTATTTCTGTTATAGCAGCACTAGATGACTAAGACAGACTGCTAAAAGAATGAACAAATCTGTCTCGGAAGAAGTACAACCAGAATGCTCCTTAGAAAAGAGGATGGATTGTTAGCAGGAGGGACCAGTCCCTGGAGAAGGACATCATGCTTGGTAAAGTAGAGGGTCAGCAAAAGAGGGGAAAACCCTCAACGAGATGGATTGACACAGTGGCTGCAACAATAGGCTCAAGCATAACAACAATTGTGAGGATGGTGCAGAACCAGGCAGTGTTTCGATCCGTCGTACGTAGGGTCGCTGTGAGTCAGAAGCGACTTGGCAGCACCTAACAACAGCAACTAGTTCAGAAAAAAATAACTTCGCAGATACTGGAAACTTTGGTTTTGGGAACATATCGAAATGGGGATCAAATATGACCCAAGCATTGGTATCTACGCCCGGACTGCAGGGTGGTGCTGGGTAGGCCGGGTTTCAGCATCACAGACAATAAGCACAGGGCAGGCTGCATTGGAGCCAAACATAGAATCAGCAAAGAAGAAACCAAGCACTGGTTCCAGCAGAAGTATGATGGGATCATCCTTCCTGTCAAGTAAGTTCCCATTTCTATCCAAAAGGCCAATCAAAAGATTTCCAAGATTTCAGTGAAATGTAAAAAAAAAAAACCTCAGCAATCACAGATAGAAGGAAACTTTCTTAACTTGGTGGTAGAGAAACATTTTACATATTTTCTTTAAGATCAAAAATAAGACAAAGATATCCACTATCATCACTACTGTTTAAAATAGTGCTAGAGGTTGTAGCCAACGCTCGAAGAACAGAAAAACAAATGAGGTGTAATGATTATCAGGAAGAGATGAAACTTCATTCTTTGTAGGCAATATGCTTATATGCTTTGAAAATCAATCGAATCAAAACACAAAGTGAGGGAATGACCCTGGCATGGACAAGACTGTGTCCAGAGGTCTGACTGGAGTGAAGAGGAACCTAGGGGTTTTCAGGAATATGAGGCCATGATTCTGAATGAAGCTTTGCCCTTCCTAAACTGACCACTGACTCTCTGATTTAACTTGACCCTAGAGGGTCTCCACTGTTAGGACAGAGCCAGGTTTCTACCACTTACTTCCTCTCCACAGAAGACAGGCAGCCAGATGAAGGGTGAAGCTCACACGCTGGGGGAGGAATCCTTCCTTCTAAGAATGTTGCCACCTCCATCTTCACATGAATGTTGTATACAGTCACGTGGCGCTTCCATCCTTCTCTCTACTTAGAATGTACCCATAACTCAGGAAAGAGTTCCCAATCTGGCTCTATCTCTCCTCAATCCAGAAAATTTCTGGACTTGTACGTAAATGAGTTATATACCATGAGAGCCCCTCAGCTCAAGAGACTAAAGTTCTTTTTCTAGCCGATGTCTTTCCCATTCCGAAATTCACTGCCTGACACCGTCCTTCTAGACCAAGAATTTCACCCTAGTAGCACCCTGTCGAGGAACCCTGGTGGCGCAGTGGGTAAGCACTCAGCTGCTAACCAAAAAGGTCCTTGGTTCGAACCCACCAGTGGCTACGTGGGAAAAAGGACCTGGTGATCTGCTCCGGTAGATTTCAGCCTAGCAAACCCTATGGGGCAGTTCTACTCTGCTCAGTGGCACACAACAGCACCCTGATAGGGCCTGTCCAGGGAACTATGCGCTGTATGGTAGGATCTGCAGGTTTCCTTCAGCTGGACCAGGAAGCCTGTCAGTCACACATCTGAAAGTCCATCCAGGAATTGACTGGCTAAGGAGATCATGGCCTGATTTGGAGGGAAGACCTCATCACTTCCGGAACTGATTTGTTGACTATAGCCTTTCAGACTAGGTGTCCCCCTCTACAGACTGACCTCAGTGGGCCCTCCTTCAGGAAGTCTCACCAGAGATCCAATCATAAGTTGTTACTCCAGCCCAGTGGTCCCAGGCTCAGCAGTTAGGTGTGAGTGAGTGAGTAGGTGGGTGTCGTTTATGTGTTTTATGAAGAGCCTGTTCCACTGGGTCAGTGCAACTCAAGCTCCTGGCTGTGAAAAGTATGTAAATCATTCACTGCTTCCACCCTCCCCATTCAGATTGCATCCTTACCTCAACAAGGAGAATTCCTATTTTTGCTCCATCGAGACCTCTCGCCCAACCCTCCTCCCCTTTTATCACCTTTGGGTCTTTACCTAGTGGAGCAACATGTGCATTTGGGCTTCACTGGAAAAGGAAAAGAAGTGGTCAATTCTGACGAGCATTCCACACTGCGGCAGTAAGACTGCCTGAGAGTCTATATGCCATCAGCTGGGCTTTGTCATTGTTGTTTTCAAATCTAGGATCAATCGGGGATCATTCATTGCATTTGGTTTTGTGTTTTTGATCTTCTTTGATGTGAAATGATTCCTTTGCCTTTTTTTGCTTTTTTCTTTCATGACATTGGCACTTTTAAAGAGTCCAGCCCAGTTGTTTACTAGGATGTAGGACAAAGAACTCTGTTTGGCCTTTTGTTTCTGGTTTTTGAAAATAGCTTGAGCAATTAAGTTGCTCTTTGTCTTTCTAAAACAGCCAGGCCAAATCTAAACAAGTGTAAAGTAGGGGACTACACAGACCCCAACCTGGCAAGAGACTCAGGAAGAGAGGCGCATGATGTACTCATGCATATTCATTGTTGAATGGATCATAACTATGACTGATGCCTCAATAATGCATATTCCAATTTGATACATGCATATTCATTGAGGTCCCAATAACTAGGGGACTCTGAACCTTGGAACTCTCTTTGGGGCTTCCAGAATTGGTGAGAACATCCATGCAGGGGAGAGGGTGTTGCATGTCCTTGGGAACAATGGAAGCCTCATGCGGGGACCTCTCCCAGACCCTGCCTGATGTATCTCTATGCTTGTCTCCTTTCAGGTTATAATAAATGGGTACATGTAAGTATAAGTCATAGTCTCTGTGAATTTTGTGAGCCTTTGTACAGAATTATAGAACCCACAGGGGCAATGAGCCAGCAGGGGCTGGCAGTACAGAGTTGATTTGTGTAGACCCAGCTCTGGGTGGCTGGGTGATAGAGAAAGGCTGGCTGCTCGGGCAGTCAATGAAGAAAGAGTCCCTCCACCGTGTGTGACCTAGTCCCAGGAGACGAGAGAGAGAGACCAGCTGGTCTGAAGTGTATTAAAACAAAGATCGTATTATTAAGCCAGTAATATAAATTGATTGAAATTTATTGAATGTATGATTTTGCAAATCAGGATAACATTTTAACTACAGCGTCAGAAATATTCCAAAGATGAGAAGAACTTCCATCCAGGGCGCTGAACACTAGGTTGAGGTGGTGAGCGATAGAATGAAAAGGTCCTTTAATCTGGGGGAGAGTAGGGAGGGATGGAAACTCCTAAGTGGAATTAGCTTAGTTACCTGATAGGAGTATGATTCGGAGCAGATGAAGCTCCAGCCTCAGCATGACATAAGAAATCCTAGTCAAAAACCTGAGTCCCTCATCCTGATTCCACAGCATCGGCTGGATGACTCTGGACGAAGTAACAAGTTTTTAGAACTTCAGTTTTCCAGTCTGTGAAAAGCGGAGAGATATCGCCCAGCTTCTATAGTTTTTCTGTTAAGTGAAACATTAATTAAGGCCCCAAGTTTGAGGAAACGTTTTGCAAATTAAGTGGTATATGTTTGTGCAAGTTGATGGTTTTCGCAGTTGCTGTAGCAGTAACACCGTCACGTGAGTGGGCTGGGCGAGGCCAATGCCCTGGAGGTGGACAGGAAAAGTCTAAAGAATTTTAGCCGGTCGTGTTGGCCTGGGGTGAGCGGCGAAATTTTTCTTTCTCAAGACACAATTGCACTCGAGTTATTCAAGCCTGAAGCTGTGGGGGAAAATAAATCGGCTCTCCGGTTAGGATCCGGAATGCCAGTCTCAGGGACTGAAATGCTAAGCCGTGTGGGGCCCCACTGCTGCCCAGTGGGCACCAGGGGGCGCCAGTTGGGTGCGTCGAGGGGGCTGGCACTGCCTTGGGCAGCCACCCCCGGTGCACCTGACCGCCTCTGGTCTGGATCCGGGAGTTGGTGCGAGAGGTGCCAGGAATCCAAGCGATTCATGGACGCAGTCTCCACTGCCCCTTCCTTCTTTTCCAGCGCAAGACTGGACTTTGAAGTCGCCCAGGAGGGTGTGAGCGCCTGTAGCGGGGTGTGCCCATCTGGGTCCCCAGCAGACCCGCGAGGGCTGCGGCCGTCCCGACGGCGCGGTCACAGACTCCAGTGTGGAAGGGGCGGCAGCTGTTCTCCCAGGCGGCCGTGGGGGGCAGCAGAGGGGACGGCGACAGGTGCGGGAGCCCCTCCCAGTGTGGAAGTGGAAAGCGGGCTCCGGGGTCTGTTCCCAGGCTGGAAACCACCCCCGCCCCCCAACCAAATCCCCGGGAGAGGCCGGGCCGGCGCCGGGTCTGGAGGAGGAAGCGGCCGGAGACAGTGCAATTTCACGCGGCCTCTGAGCTCGGGTTCCTGGGCAGGGGGGATGAGTTATGGGGTTTCGAGTTGGGGGAAACTGAGGTTGCCTGAGCGTGAGGCAAACAACGCTCTCCCGCTCAAAAACACAGAGAGAAATATTCACTCCAGAAAGGAAATCCTCAAGTGATCCAACCGGCTAGGGGAGTTGAGTGATTTGGTTAATGGGCGAGGCCAGCTTTCAGAGGGCCGGGCTTTGGCGCGCTCTCCCCGCCCCCTATTACCTTTCCCGAGATTTGGGGGGGCTTTGGGAATCTTGATATCCTCCTTCTTAGCCCAGCTCCGGAAGGAAAGTTAGGGCGAGACCCCTTCGTGGTCTGCTTGGCGAAGAAGCGGGAGTCCCGGAGTTGCCAGGGCGTGGGGCGCGCTCGGAGCCGCCAGTCAGTCGGAGGCTCCAGCAAACTCCTGCAGCCCCGCGCGGAAGGGGGCGCGGCCGTGACTCACCCCCTCCCCGGCACGCTCTCCCTCCCTCCCCTCACAGGCACACACCCCTCCTCTGCGACCCGCCAGGACTCCGGCTCCGGCTCGGGCGGTAATTTACTGCCGCCGCCGCCGCCGCCGCTGGCACCACCACTTCGCTGGCGGCTCAGGTGGCTCCCGCTTCGATGTCCTAGTCCAGGGGCCCCCGGGCCGAACTCGGCTGGGCTCCCCTCACCCTCCCCTGGAGTCATGAGGGCGAAAGGGGCTCTGCAGGTGCTGAGCTTGCTTCTCAGCCTGGCCCAAGGCTCTGAGGTGGGCAACTCGCAGGCAGGTAAGTGGCGCGGGAGCACCGGCCAACTCGGAACCGGGAGCCCGAACCGAGCGCGGAGCCACTGAGGGTGCGACGTGCCGAGTTTCAGACAGTGCGAGGCTGGGGGTGCTGACCCCGAGTCCGCGGGGATCACCTGGGAGGGGACGGTCGGGCTCGGAGTCTCGGATTCTCGGCGTGGTCTGGTCAGCGGCCGGCTTCCTGGGCCCCCTTCTCCCCAGTGCGCCGCCGACCCTCTAATTTGTTCTCCTGATGGTACTGACGCCGAAATAGTAGTTCACACTTCTGAGGCGCCCTGCAGGGAGGGGAGCCGAGACCTCCATTCTGTAAGCGTGAGGAGATGGTTGCGGGTAGAGATCTTGGGGGGAGGGGGAGTCTCGGCAGCCCCCTACCCCCCAGTTTCGGCTACCTCCAGTTTCGTTGTTTTGCCTACAGGGCGGAGCTACGGAAGGATTGGGGGTGGGGAGGGGAGGTGGTGGTGGTGGTTGTTCTCTGGTGCTGGAAAACAGGAGCTGCACCTCCTCTTCCGTGAGTGGGCCTGCCCCGGGGAGGGCTGAAATTAACCAGAGGGCCAAGTCCAGGTGACTTCAGGGTGAGAGGCCCAGCCGAGCCTGGCTGCCCGCTTTCCCTCCAAATAATAAAGCTGGCTTGTCCCCCACTCAACCACCTTCTTTTTGTCAAGACACAGTTCAATTCAACTAGTATTTACTGAGCATCTACTATACACCAGGCCCTGGGCCAGGAACTCTAGGGGCAAGGACTTCCATCCTCTTATTTCTTCGTTTGTCTTTTCTCTCCCCAACTTGAGGCCAGGAGCGTCCACCCCCTGAGGCTTCTGCCCTGGAGAGTCCATCCCAGGCCCAGCTCCTCACCCAGTTCTGTTTATTTGACTCCAGGAGACAAGAGTGCCAGACTGCTCTTCTCTATTCCTCCCCACCCCCCACCCCCCATGGCATCTGATCTCTTTTTTGGGGTGTCTCTGGGACTGCAGACACCTGAGGGGTGCCGGAACTGGAGGAGCCCTTTGGTCTCCTCCCCTCCCCTCCTCCCAGATCCCAGCTTGCAGTGTGACACAGCCAGGGCCCCTTCCCCAGGGTGGGAGTGGGAAAACACCTGTGCTTCCCCTACAGTTGCTGGGCCTAAATTTAGACCCCAGGATCTTGAGATATGAACACTCCCAGCTGGTGGAGGGCGGAGGGTCTGGGGACTGGAGTGGGAGGGAGGAGTGAAGTGACTATCGCTGGTCCATCCAGACCCTGGAAGCTTCAGCCAGGAGCCCAGGAGTCCCAGATCTTGGCCCCTTCCCTGGGGGAGGCAGGAGGCAGGCATGGTTGGGTCTCTTTACCCTTTATCTGGGTTCTGCAGCCTCTGGGCATCCGGCCCTGTCTCAGTTCTATAGCCCCTTTGTCCTGACTGTGATGGGGGTGGGGGATGTTGGAGGCGAGGCCCTTGGTTGGGGAGGGGCTGGAGGTTCTTGTTCTGTCCCACTCCCAGTTCTCTCTACCAAAGGAGGGCCTGTGACACTGACTCTTCCTATGACCCTGGGCCCCGGGACAGCTAGGGATTTTTGTAAAATTCCTCTCTCCCTGTCCCCCTCCTCAAGCTGCCTGGCTTCTCCCCAGAGTTGTTGTTCATCCTCTCTCCCTGCCCAGGCCCTTTGCTCCCTGCTTGTGTAATATGGACTTTACCCTCAGGGTGGCAGGGAACTAGAGATGGAACTCTAAAGCTAGCCTTCCGAGCCCAGACACAAAGTCTGCACACACATACGGGCACGTGGGGTGGATGAGATACCTGAAATACTTCCCAATAAGGAAACCCAAGGGCAGAACCCATATAGATTTCTGGGTCGACCGGGGAGCTGTGAACATGTTTGTATGTGTGTGCCTATGTGTGCATGTGTGCACACATACACACACACTTCCCTATGCAGAAATCTTGGCTCCTCCCTTATCTGAGGAGAAAGATTGGCGCCTTGACTTGGAAGAGGGGGTGTCTTGCCAGGAAGGGGGTTGGGGTGGGGCTGAAATGACTAACCTTCCTAGTCTCTTTCATTTCAGCCCAAGGACCCTGAAGTTCCCAGGCTCCTTTGAGAGTTCCTGGCCTGTTTACCCTTCTTTGCTGATCCTACACCCCCGCCCCCGCACCTGCACCTGCTCCCCTAACCCCTCCCCAACCAGGGAGTGATAGGTAAGGGGAAGCCCTCCAAGGTCAGTTGGTCAGAATTGGGGTGGATCTAGGAGGAGGGACTGCAGCTTCACCAGTCCCCCTCCATTCCCACTCCTGCCTCCCACTGAGCTGACACACCCTCAGGGAAGGGTGTTTGGAACAGGTGGCATCTACACACTACACACATGAGAGAGCGTGCTCACACACCACACACACACACACACACACACACACACACACGCAATCTTGCATGGAGCCAGGTGAAAAGAGACAGGAGTAGGGCTTCAGGGTCTACCGTTTCCCAGAGCCCCTATATCCTCCATCTTCTATACTTACAAGTTAAAGGGAACCCCAAGAGTAACATGCCTCCTGTACCTCTCTCTGTTCTAGACTATCCCCTAATGCGGGTGAGGATTGCCATGTTGAGAAGGCCTTTTCATGAACCCCTCTGTCAGTGAAATTGGGTGGATAGCTTGCGGGGAGTCTGCTGCTGTTTCTTACCAGGCTTCTCTGTATTTGCTAAAAATACTTTAGGGCTGGAAAGTGTGATGCTGAGGGAGCTGAAGTGGGTCAGGATAGGGGAAGGGAGTGAGAAGGGAAGGCAGGGTTGTTCTGGAAGGGGCGGGGGAGGTAGGCAACCAGCTCCTTATCTTCCAGCCTTAAAGACAAAGCTCCCATTGACCCCTCACCATAGACCCCCTCCTCTAGTGAGGTCCCTTGTCTGACCCAAGGCTTGAGGGTAGCGAGGGGGTGCTGCTAAGCAAAAGGAGTCTGGGGACAGGGTGGGGCAGCCCCCTCCTCCTGGATAGAATTGCTTCATTGTGGGCTAGACTGTGGCCCCGGGCACTGCCCCCACCCTCTGCCCCATCCCACCCTCAGTAGACACAATAGGGGCTGTGTGCTAGCCCCAAAGAGATATTTATTCTGGGACCTAGAGAGAGGCAGGATGGGGATAGAGAGTAAGTGCCCTGTGGAGGGGAGGGGGGGAAGAAAGGGACTAACAGAAATTTCTGTCCTTTTCTCCTTTCTACGGGGGAAGAGTCCTACATCTTCCTTGATTAACCCTTAGTGCCCAAAGTCGTACCCAAAGGAGGCACAGAGGAGCCCCTGGTGGAAAAAGGGAAAACCTTTTCACCTTCCTGGCTGGGAAGATTCTAAGAGAGGAAGCTCGGGATCTCAGTCCACTATAGGCCTCCCTGTCTATCCCTGGGTGGCACAAATGGTATGCGCTCCACTACTAACTTAAAGCTTGATGACTGGAACCCACCCAGAAGTGCCAAGGAAGAAAGTCCTGTTGACCTGCTTCCATAAAGATTATAGATTAAAGATTATAGAGCTATTCTACTCTGTAACACATGAGGTCTCAATAAGTCTGAATTGACTCAACTGCAATGAGTTTGGTTTGATTTTGTCTGTCCCTAAGGGGAGAGTTGGAGGCAACTGCCTTCTGGTCCTGTTGAGTGTTACTGGAAGATGGCAGCCAAGAGGGTGGTCTCAGGAGACAAGGGAATGGGGCCGAAAACTTGTGTCCAGCCCTCCACCACTCTTGTCTCCCCTTTGAACAGTGTGTCCTGGAACTCTGAATGGGCTGAGTGTGACTGGCGATGCAGAGAACCAATACCAGACACTGTACAAGCTCTACAATAGGTGCGAGGTGGTGATGGGGAACCTTGAGATCGTGCTCACAGGACACAATGCTGACCTCTCGTTCCTGCAGGTTAGAGAGCCGAACCACCTCCCTCAACCTGTCCCCCTTTGTTCTCCCCACAGACGCTTGTTTCCCTTCCTCAGGGCTACCCCCTGCTGGATGGAGTTCAGCATTCCTAAGATGCAATAGTTTCTAAGAGCTAATCTTCTGTATTTATGGGGACAAGAACTGGAATCTGGGACCTATGGCCTGGTCATCATAGCCAGGGATACACAGGAGCTGGCCATAATGAGAAGGGGGCAGGGACAGGGTGGTGGCGTGTGGCTGTGCAAGGTAAGTAGGGACTAATGCAGATACCGGAGGACCGAGAGGCGCCTGGGGAGAAAGTGAGTGAGCAAGGACCCTCCTGGGGAGCTCTGGGAAGAAAAGCGTAGGAAACTGGAATTTCTTGATCATTTCTGCTGCCTGTCTTCACTCACAGTAGCGTGACACAGTCCACTCCCTACTCCAAAAGAGGGATTAGAAAGAATTAGAGGAGCTAAAGATTCCTGAATGCCTTAGGGAGGGAAAAGGGATTGAGACTTTTTGCCCTGTTGTCCATCTCATTGACACAATCTCCTCTATCACAGTGGATCCGAGAAGTGACGGGCTATGTCCTTGTGGCCATGAATGAATTCTCCACACTGCCCCTGCCCAACCTGCGAGTGGTACGGGGGACCCAGGTCTACGATGGGAAGTTTGCCATCTTCGTCATGTTGAACTATAACACCAACTCCAGCCACGCTCTGCGCCAGCTCCGCTTTACTCAGCTCACTGGTCAGTTCTTGATGATGCCTTCTGCTCTTGCCCCTCAGCGCTCTCCTTGATGATAAGCCAGGACAGCTCAATCCAAGTGCCTCTTCCAGGGTGCCCACCACCTTGACCATCGTGGTCCACCACCCCTTAAATAGGGGGCTTCCCAGTGGGAAGTTGGGAGCATCTGCCTTGGAGGGAGGATCCTTATGTCCTGTGAGGCTGGAGTTAGAGCTGGTTGTGTTAACCCATTCCTCTAACTTCAAAGCACTATGCATCTGATGTCCCTCTACCCTGGGAATCCTACCATTCCTCTCTCCCGAAGTCCCCACAAGCTGGAGGGATGTAGGAGTTAAATATCACCTGGCCATCTTCCACTTTTCCCTGTCCCAGTCAGTTGGAAAATACACAGGCAGGGCTGGGGGGGGGGTGCGGGGGAGGAGGGCTTGAGTCAGAGATCTTCTCTCCTCTTTCCCCTCCCCCACTGGCCAAACCGGCTCTAGACAGGTGTCTGAGGAGACTGCAGTTCTGTGGGCCTGGCTCCTCCTCGGCTCTATAATGCAAATTTTCTCTTCAGCTTAGATTTAATTGGACACATCGGTCTGCCCCATTTCCCCTACTCCTGATTTTAGGTATCCCTTTGGACTGATGGGAAGGTAGGGAAGAGGAGGTCTGCTGTAGCCCTTAACACTGTCACTTCTCTTCCCTCAGAAATTCTGTCAGGGGGTGTTTATATTGAGAGGAATGAGAAACTTTGTCACATGGACACAATTGACTGGAGGGACATCGTGAGGCACCAGGATGCTGAAATAGTGGTGAAGGAAAATGGCAAGAGCTGTGAGTGGCCGTGACTGAGACTGCTCTCCTGCCCCCACCGAACCACACTGACTCCTTTTCCATCATCATTATATCCCTGTGTTCTAATCGGAACCCACCTCTTCTCCATTGAACAAACACCTCAGGCCCTAGACCCAAGGAGTCTGCCGGGAGGAACCAGGCCAGTCCCCCAAAACCCAAACCACAGAAGCGGTGTGTCAAGAAAAAGAGCAAACAATGTCTGTGTACTAAATGGAGAAGCTAGATCTTTGGACTCCATATCCATTCCCCTTTCCACTACAACATGCTCCCTTCTCTTTGGAACCTACCTACCCCTGACCACAATCTGCTTCTTCCTGCCCGTTCATACGCACATATTAATGCTAGGTTCAATTTGCCAAGGAGGAACCAAGTTCCTGGGTTGGGACTGGGCCGAGGTTGGCATTTGCCCTAGCCCCTCCCTTTCAGCTGCCCAGTGGGTTGTGTGGAGGCGTGGCTCCACCCCTTGTTGACAGGTTCACTTGAGCCCAGCCCTGCTCTCTAAGGGCAAGGAGGGACAGTGCTCTGACTCTTCACTTCCTGGGGCTGGGGTGCCTGTGTGCTGACATCATACCCTGTTGATTCAAGCAAGCCTTTCTTAGCCCATTGTGTTGTTTTTCCCAACCAGGTCCCCCCTGTCATGAGGTCTGCAAAGGACGATGCTGGGGTCCAGGACTGGAAGATTGCCAGACATGTGGGTTCTCTTCTCTCTAGAAACTTCAAACTTATACACTTTCATATCCTGGCCTACCCCAGCCTGTGTCCACATTGGGCATAGAGATGAGCCTGGAGGACTCTTAGAATACAATCCTAACAGCTCTGACAGCTATGCTTTCTCTCCCTCCATAGTGACCAAGACCATCTGTGCCCCTCAATGTAACGGTCACTGCTTTGGACCTAACCCCAACCAGTGCTGCCATGATGAGTGTGCAGGGGGATGCTCAGGCCCTCAGGACACAGACTGCATTGTACGTAGTGGGACCTGCCTGGGGCTGAAATGAGGATGTGGGCTTCAGGGAGGAGTAGGGGTGCGTGTGTAACATTTATGAGTATCCCATGTTCCCAGGCCTGCCGACACTTCAATGACAGTGGAGCCTGTGTACGTCAGTGTCCACAGCCTCTTGTCTACAACAAGCTAACTTTCCAGCTGGAGCCCAATCCCCACACCAAGTATCAGTATGGAGGAGTTTGTGTGGCCAGCTGTCCCCGTAAGTGCCTGAGGGGAGAGAACAACTGTAGTGGATCCCGGATTTTAGATGGAATTTTAGGGGGCATAAAGGGGTCAAGTTGGGTGGAAAATAGGGGAGGCTTAGAAGGTAAGTGGTTGTAACCATCTAGTCACCCCCAATGAGTGACCCCTAGATCCTGCCCCATTCCAAGAGCCTAGGGTGGTAGGCATACGGGCAACCCAGTACAGAGCAGGAGGGAGCAAGGGCCCAGGGGAGGGGTTTGGTTAGCAGCTTTCCTCATCTCTAATTGTGCCCTCCTCTTCCCTAGATAACTTTGTGGTGGATCAAGCTTCTTGTGTCAGGGCCTGTCCTCCAGACAAGATGGAGGTAGATAAAAATGGGCTCAAGATGTGTGAGCCTTGTGGAGGGCTGTGCCCCAAAGGTGAGTACGAGGAGATGGGACGAAGTTAGTAATGGAACATCTTTTCCTCCGAAGCTACTCAGGCCACCTCTTCTGAACTCTTTTTGTTGTCTGCAGCCTGTGAAGGGACGGGCTCTGGCAGCCGCTTCCAGACTGTGGACTCGAGCAACATCGATGGATTTGTGAACTGCACCAAGATCCTAGGCAACCTGGACTTCCTTATCACTGGCCTCAATGGGTTAGAAATCAGAGATCCTGCCTTCCTTCCCTGATCTCCCCACCCATCCACCCTCTCAAGAGTTCATTGCATTGCTTAACCCCTCATATGTGGGGCTGATTAGGAATCTAAGTCATAAAAATCTGAGAGGTTGCAAAGGACCTTGAAACGGTGCTTAACTCAACTTCCCACCCAGGGCTTCAGTTCCCTCAGGGACATCCCTAGGTGATCCAGTATCAGGAACAGGGTGTCCTCCCTCCTTCTTAAAGTTTTCTAAAAAGTTTGTTTTTAAATTTAGATCATAATCTGCCTCCCAGCTATTCTTATTTAGTGCTGCTATAACAGAAATGCCACAAGTGGGTGGCTTTAACAAACAGAAATTTATTTTCTCACAGTTTGGGAGGCTAGAAGTCCGAATTCAGAGTGGCAGCTATTGGGGGAAGGCTTTCTCTCTCTGTCAGATCTAGAGGAGAGTCCTTGTCCCTTTAGCTTCTGCTTCCTGGTTCCTTGGAAATTTCCATGTGTCTTGGCATCTGTCTTACCCCATCTGACTTCCAGCTATCTTCCCAAGTTGTGCTCCATGGAGCAACAAAGAGAGAGGGGGGAAAAAATCCATTGCCATTGAGTCGATTCCAACTCATAGCAACCCTATAGAACAGAGCAGAACTGCCCCCATAGGGTTTCCAAGGAGCAGCTGGTGGATTAGAACTGCTGACCTGTTGATTAGCAGTTGAGCTCCTAACCACTGTGGCACCAGGGCTCCTTCTAATCCATAGGATAGCATTTAAAGTGTGTGTGTGTGTGTGTGTGTGTGTGTGTGTGTGTGTGTGTGAGAAACATGTCCAGCTGTTGTTTTTTCAACTTTTTATTTTGAGATAATTTTAGATCTACACTAAATCTGCAAGAATGGTATAAAGATTCCCTCTTCACTCAGGTTCCCCAAATGACAACATTATACATTTGCTTTTTAACATTTCTCTTACTCTCTTTCCCTCCCCTTTTCTCCCTCTTTCCCTCTTTCTCCCCACATGCGCACATGCGCACATGCACACACACCAAAACCTGTTGCCAGACAGTCGATTCTGACTCGTGGTGACCCCATGTGTTACAGAGTAGAACTGCTGTGTAGGGTTTTCTTGTCTGTGATCTTAACGGAAACAGATCACCAGTCCTTTCTTCTGCAGCACCACTGGGTGGGTTCCAACCACCAAGCTTTAGGTTAGTAGTGGAGTGCAAGCCATTTGCCCCTCCTAGGGACCCTCACATATACACATACATATATACATATTATACACACTGTTGTTTTTCTGAACGAGTTGAGGGTAAGTTTCCAGACATGGTACACCTTACCCCTGTTATATTTCAATGTGCATTCTCTAAAACAAGAACATTTTCATACCTACAGTACAATTATTTAAATCAGAAAATTAACATGATACAAAATGTTATCTAACCTACAAACTTTATTCAGATTTTACCAGTTGTCCCACTAATATCTTTTATAGTAAAAGAAAATCCTGGATTATACATTATATTCTATTGTCTAGTCTCCTTTAATCTGGAAATAGGAGCCCTGGTGGTACAGTGGTTAAAGCCCTCGGCTGCTAACCAGAAGGTCAGTGGTTCGAACCTACGAGCCATTCTGCAGGAGAACATGTGGCAGTTTGAGCACTTCTTACTTTTTGGCACAAGATGTTCTAGGCCCCAGCCATTTCTCCAAGGAGCCCTGAGCCTTTATAGTGGAGTATGATATGTAGAAACCAAGTTCTGAGACTAGGTGTGCTCATTGCCACTGGGATATACCTCTACCTTGTTCACCTGTTTTTACTGTTCTCCCCCAGAGACCCCTGGCACAAGATCCCTGCCCTAGACCCTGAGAAACTCAATGTCTTCCAGACAGTACGGGAGATCACAGGTGAGTAGCAGGAGAGGCTCCCCTTTCTGAGAGAAATAAATGAACAACTGACACAGACTGAGGCATACCTACTTGAGAAAATCATGCCCCAAGCAGCAGGGGAGAGAGAATCTGAGAAAGGAAGGGGAGAAAGCTCCCTGCTCATATTCCTCTTCCAACTTCTCAGGTTACCTAAACATCCAGTCCTGGCCTCCGCACATGCACAACTTCAGTGTCTTTTCCAACCTGACAACCATTGAGGGCAGAAGTCTTTACAAGTGAGTATGGACTGTGGAGGTGGTAGTATCACCATCCAATGAACCCTGTTTCTTAGGCATCTTTGAGTGAAAGAAAAGGCACTGTCTCATACAGCATGCCCAAAGGGTCTGAGAGTTTGATAGGTAAAAGGCAAAAGGATGGGGACTCCTTCTCAGTGAGCCTGACTAGCCCAGGACAAATTTATTAAATAAGAGTAATCCACTGCACTGTCAATTTTCCCTTTGTAGTCTCCCCTCTCATCCTCTCTTCTTATTCTCAGCCGGGGCTTCTCACTGTTGATCATGAAGAACTTGAATATCACGTCTCTGGGCCTCCGGTCCCTGAGGGAAATTAGTGCTGGACGTATCTACATAAGTGCCAATCGGCAGCTCTGCTATCACCATTCTCTGAACTGGACCAAGCTGCTTCGGGGACCTGCAGAAGAGAGACTAGACATCAAGCATAATCGGCCCCGCAGAGATTGCGGTGAGGGAAAGGACCCATGAGTAGTGGGAAGAGGGAGTTAGGGAGGAGAGGGGTGTAAGGACTATTCTGCCTTGGATGTGGCAGCAGGGGTAGCAGGTGGAACCTAGGAGAAGGGGGATATTATAAGCTTTGAGGGTTCAGAAGCAGTGATGAGGAGGAATTCAGGAGAGGGCTTGTTAGGAGTCCTCAGAGTGCTCCCCTAATCTACCCCTTCCTCTCCAGTGGCAGAGGGCAAAGTGTGTGACCCACTGTGCTCCGGGGGATGCTGGGGCCCAGGCCCTGGTCAGTGCTTATCTTGCCAAAACTACAGCCGAGGAGGTGTCTGCGTGACCCACTGCAACTTTCTGAATGGGTACAGTGAGGGAAGAAAGAGTCAAGAAGGGGTGGCGTTGGGGCCCTGGGATGGAGCTGTTAGGGTGCCACCTGAAAGTCTTTAGACAACTTTCTGTATATGCCTTAGTCGGGATGAGGTACGAGACCCTGTGGTTGGGGGATCAGGGCATAAAGGTCAGGACTTGGAAATGACCCTCTCCCCTTACCCACCACAGGGAGCCTCGTGAGTTTGCCCATGAGGCTGAATGTTTCTCCTGCCACCCGGAATGCCAACCCATGGAGGGCACTGCCACATGCAATGGCTCGGTACAGTAGAAGCACCAGGGTCTCTAACTCCCAAGGCCAACACAGGGCGGCCAGATAATGCTAGGGATTATAGACAGAGATCCTGGATGACTGGGTTGGTCCTTGCTGGAAGGTATGGATTGACTATGGGACCTCATCCTTTCTGACCTTCTCTTTTCCACCCAGGGCTCTGATGCTTGTGCTCAGTGTGCCCATTTTCGAGATGGGCCCCACTGTGTGAGCAGCTGCCCCCATGGAGTCCTAGGTGCCAAGGGTCCCATCTACAAGTTCCCGGATGTTCAGAATGAATGCCGACCCTGTCATGAGAACTGCACCCAAGGGTCAGTGATAGGGTGACGAGAAGAGGAGGTCAAAGGGGAGGCGTAGGTGCACAGAGGGGGAAAGAAGAGGGTGATGTGAATAGACAGAGGAAAAGGACTGATGTAAGAATCATGCCCAGTGTACTGAAGGATTGGCTGAAAGGAAACTGTAACAGCAAAAGATTGTACCATGGTTTTGGGAACCTGGAATAAGCTCAGCTCAGGGAGGGCTGGCAAGGTAGAGACGTAGGCTGTGCCTTGGGATATGCTTTGGGCTCTGGGATGGGAGGGCATGATAGGGTTTGGAACAAGCTTTCAGTATATACACAACAGCCTTTATATACAACAGCCTTTGTATATAAAGACTGTTGGAATTGACCCTCTGTTGTCCAAGCTCCCATTTAAGGGGGTGACTTTCTTTTCTAGGTGTAAAGGACCAGACCTGCAAGATTGTTTAGACCAAAATCAGGTGCCGATCAGGTATGATGGGCTTGATGATTCACAAAACTGGGGATATTTGTGAGAGAATCTAGGGAGAGGGCGGTTACCTGCTAGCAAGAGTGGATCTCTATTCCTTCTGGCCTCTATATACAGTTGACTAACACCACTGGATGATGTAAGAATCCAGGATCTTGGCCTTCCCTTCCTAAAATGTAACTTGCTGTATCCTAAGGAGGCCCAGATCTAGCTTAACCTCTTTGATGCTCAAGGATATATATATA